GTCTCCAAATTCCAATGATTGTTTAAGCACATGTTACCATCCCCCACCTGGTACTCGGACACCCCCACTACTCGTACAGCCAAACCCCACCATCACCACCTAAACTCCCACATGTTCACTTATACGGATTCGGCTTGATATTGAAGCTATTTAGAATGTAATTACTTCTCTAGATAGCCCTGATCTTAAAGTTTCTTCCAATGCAAAAATTACTCCGCGCAGCCTACGTGATTGGCTGTCTATTACCCCGCGTTTCCTACCCCGAATAGAGAAATTTGCAGTGCTTGAGCCTCGTTTGAAGCCTTGTTCTATATGCACCGCAGCATCGTACAGCCGCCAAAAATGCCTCCCTATTCGTATACGGAGGATCACATAGCGAATGCCATCTTAGATATCACGGATGAGGGCCTCTCGCTGCGAAAAAGCGCTCAAAAGCACGGCATCCCTGCCACGACGCTCTCTGACCGACTCAACGGCAAGCCCTCAAAGTCCGAGGCCCATATACAACAACAGAGACTCTCTCCTGCTCAAGAGAGCACTATAGTCAAGTGGATTTTACGTCAGGAGAAGCTGGGACTAGCCCCTTCGCACTCCCTGGTGCATGAGATCATCCTGAAGGTGTCGAAAAAGAACAGAGATTCACGCCCCCTTGGAGACAACTTCATCGCCGGCTTCAAGCGCCGCAACCCCCAAATAAAGACCAAAGTTGGCAAGCGGATGGAATCAGCGCGCTTTAAGGGCTTTACGCCGAAGGCAGTTAACTGGTTCTTCGATATCTTGGAAGATTACGGCTGGGTAAAGCCAGAAAACACGTACAATGTCGATAAGGGCGGCATTATGGCGGGTTTTGGTAGCTTTACCTACCCTTTTAAATCCACAGAAACTCTAATTATCTTTGCAGGCATTGACTCTCTCGTTCTGGGTAGTTCTACTACTAAGAAAGCCTTCCTAAAGAGCCCCCAGGGCCGTAGCTGGACCTCCTTTATTGAGGCCATCTCCGCAACTGGAACAATCCTCAAACCAGGTATTATCTTTAAGGGGAAGGACCTGCAAGTGCAGTGGTTTATCGAGGAGTTCCAAAAGACTGCCGATTGGCATTACATATGCTCAGAAAACGGCTGGACTTCGAATGAAATAGCCTGCCAGTGGCTAGAAGATGTCTTCATCCCGCAGGTGGACGAGGTACGAGGAAAAGACCAGGCCGAGCCTGTTCTTTTGATACTAGATGGCCATGGTAGCCACACCTCCGTACGTATATGTTTTTTCCTTATTCTATATGGACTTCTTTCATTTTTCCCTGATTTAATAAAGGCTAACGCGTGTTATAAGGACGAATTCATGACCATCTGTTATTTTGCCAACATATTGCTCTGTTTCTTCCCTGCGCACACTAGTCACGGCATGCAACCCCTGGATAACGGGCCCTATAACGCCCTGAAGGCTCACTACCAGAAATTCCTCTCCCAGCTAAATTCTCTGACGGACGCCTCGCCTGTTAACAAGATCAACTTCATTCGGTGCTATAGCCAGGCCAGAGCTGCTGCTTTTACTAAAGCAAACATCCTCTCTGGCTTCAGAACGACTGGATGTTATCCTATCAGCCGCAGGAAGTGTTTAACGCACCCAGAAATCCAGGAAGAGAAGCAGAAGACCCCTGAGCCTGAGACCCCTGAGAGCTCTGAACCAGAGGATCAACGGACCCCTACTACGAGCCGCCAGATCATGAATTTCGGCAAAAATAAGTCCCCTGGCACCCGGCTGAAGTATAGGAAGATAGCCACCGCGTTCGAGGCTAAGGATACCGACCTTGTTATCAAGGACAGGAAGATCAAGGCCCTGGAGGCTGAACTGAAGCGGCTACGGCCAAAGAAGCGCCAGAAGATCCATAATCCTAACAAGAAGTTCAGAACAGTCACGGAGGTACTAAGTAAAGGTGGTAATATCACCCCTGGTGTCTCTGCGGATGTACCAGAAGTTGTGGTTGATAAGGACGAGGAGGAAGAAGAAGAAGACGAAGACTCGGCTGAAGAGCCCGTTTTGGAGGCCATACAGGAGCCTAGGCACACCCGTTCGGGGCGAGCCATTCGGGCGCCCGCACGCTTGTACGAGTAAACAGCCCCACCGCTATCGAATGATAATTTTGCTGAATTTTTCCGATCTACAAGACTTCATTTAGGTGTGGGTGAATAAGGGGGTGTTTTGGTGGTGGATGCGGGGTTTGGCTGTACGAGTAGTGGGGGTGTCCGAGTACTAGGTGGGGGATGGTATCTGTGGTGCTGGTGTATCTAGCGATGGTCTGTGCTGGGTAAAGAACAATTTCTCGCGTCGAATAAGATTGCTAGATGAAGTCTGAATTAGTTCCAGGATATTGGTGGAGTTCTGGTCAAGTTGTGGGCTTACTTTTTGTCAGGTAATGGACAGATTGTGTCAGAAGGCGGGCCTTGGAATTGAAATGTTGATCTGTTGATCTGTAGGGAGTTGCAGTCATGAGGGGAGTGGTGGTGCTGTTGACATACATGATCTGTTACTTTGTCCCTTACCATGCTTCCCAACGATGGCTCCCGAGTGTGTTAGTTGGTCTCCACGAGGTGTTTCCGTGTTGGCATGTCTTGTGGCCTCGAGGTGCTTGCTGGTAGGCAAGTCCTGATGTGGATGTGTCGAGCCGAGCGCGGTTGGCATATATGGGCCTGTTATTTTGTTCCTTGCAATGCTTCCCAACCGATTTCTTTCCAGTGTGTTTGTTGGTCTCCACGAGGTGTTTGCTGACTGGCATGTCCCGATGCGTCGAGTGCTGTTGGTGGTGCGACGTTGTGCGACTAGGTGTCAAGGACAGTTTGTTCGCGTTGGGTTCGAAGCCCATCACCGGTGGGCAATCTGGTGGCAGCAGCATTTCTCTGTTGGTCCACATGAATCTGTTCTTTTGTTCCTTAACATGCTCTCCAATAGATTGCTCCCGAGTGACTTTGTTGGTCTACACGAGGTGTTTGTTCGCTGGCATGTCTCGATGGTTCGAGTGCTATCACAAAGCAATGCCGCTCCGTGGAGCCCCTGCCACGGGCCAATGCCAGGGGCTAATGACCCCCTATATGGTGGGTGTATGGGCCGTTCACCCAGATGGTCTCTCAGGGCTCCTTCTCTTCCTATCTCCTTAGAGAGTGTTCATAGACTTGGTATTTCATGCCGTAGCTATGAGCCAGGTTTCCTATTCTGCCATTGGCATAGCCAAAGTGCCATTGTGGTGATCAGGTTGAGGGAGTCTCTCCTCTGCTGCCACCGAATGGCCAGAGTACAACACTCTCGCGAAAAAGACAAGCCACCACGAATACGCCGCTCGAAAAGAGCATTGCACACGCGCTCGGAGGCTCCCATAGCCCCAGGGCATGGCTCACTCACGATAGGGAGCCGTCCCAATCACGCCGCCTGGTCACGATACGATACGATACGAAGCGACCACAGCAACCACCCCTACACTGTCCACTGTCCACTCGATTACATGCAATGTACGACAATCCTGAACGTCTCAAGCACGGCAAGAGACCTTCCCGAGAGCCTCATAGGTGTCTCCAAGGTCATGCGACATAGGCCTCTCTACCGGGGAAGCCACCTACAACCGAAGCCTTCCTCATCATGGGAGCACACGGGACCTCCCACGAGGGAGCCCAGCCCAATCGACGACGCTCTGCGACGATGCCCGGGATTCCACAAATGGCTCTCTCACGAGGGGGAGCCCACGAACAAACGTCTCCCTAATGGAAATGCTCGCGAGCGCCCGCTCTGTGTGGCACTGGAGGCTCGGAACGCAACATCCCACACCCTTTGGAAATCAACATGGCGTTTACGACAAGAACTGGTTGAGGCACAAGAGCTGATGGCACGGCAGCATTCGATACCACGGCACATGAGTCCAAAGGAGATCACGGAAGACTCATGGGGGGTGCTAGTGACCCCGACAGTGCGCTTATGAGTGGCCGCTCCACTAAAGCGGTTGTACGCTCGGAAGGTTAAACGACGTAGAGAGCAGCTCCTTGGTGATAGAGATGGTGGTACTAAGGGAAGCACCTTGGCAAAGCCTCCCTTGCTTCCGCGTATGCGTGGAAGACCAGCTTCCTGGTACGACAAATGGAAGCCGTGCCAGCTCGAGCTGTCGGCACCAGGGACTAACCCTAGGCCAAGCCGTCGCATGTATGTTGTAGCGCGTTGAGCCCTTGAGCTCTCGAGAAGCACACTGCGTTGTAACCATGGAAGGCTCCGGCGAATCACCAGTGCGTTGGGCCCTTGAGGCTCTCGTAGATTACTCCACGTGGATAGCCATACATAGAAGGCTCCCACTCCTCGGAGGAGCTCGTCGGGCCCTCGTGAACTCTCACTCGAGCACGTCTCCTGATTGGTCAAGGGAATGACCCGGATTGTGTGGTGGATCGTTCGGTTATGATGCGAGCATCCTGTGAACGTCCCCAAGAAGGACGTGCGGATATTGAGGAAGTGATCAAAATGTTGTTCTGTTGCAGTTTAGTAGGTTCATTTAATTGATACCTTACCTACACGAAGACATATAGGCAACTCCATACATGCATCGCTCTGGAGGATTGCGTATGTGGTTGAGTGTTAGGGCCAGAGAGATCTAGATGCCACGGCCCAAATTGGATATAGCAGCGAGGTAAGACAAGTAATGTATTCGCGAGAACGTCCAGGGAATATTTAACCAGTCAAACGATTCATGGATCAAGCAGTAGCCAATAGACAACCTTGGCACGGAGGTTGAAGTTTTGGGGTCGGGCACTCTATGACGGAGCCCGGGCGAATAAGCGAGTCGACTCGGAGCATCTCCCTCCGCAATTTGACGTTCCGAATGCCGTTCCCCCCGGCCGGAGATGCTCAGTGCTCACCACCCTCGGCCTCTATATAAGTAAAGCATGACTCTCTAAGGGTCTCTCTCGTATTCCAGCATTGTTTCTGTAGTCGTCCCGCGACTGAACTACGTCACAACAGGACCCGACAAGATGCACTTCAAACTCCAGACGGCCTTGGGGTGGCTCGTACACACCGCACCGCTCCTAGCCAGCGCTGTCTCTTTGCAGCAGGTCACGTCGGATTTCGGCTCCAACCCCAGGAACGTGGGCTTCTACATCTACGTGCCCGACAAGCTCGCCGCCAACCCACCCATCCTGGTGAACCCCCACGCGTGCCACGGAAGCGCACAGAACGCCTATACCGGATCGCAATATGCGACTTTAGCCAGCCAATACGGCTTCATCGTTATCTATCCCGACAGCCCGAATACCGCCGACAAGTGCTGGGACGTGTCGTCCAGCGACACCTTGACGCACAATGCGGGCGGCGACAGTCTCGGCATCGCCAGCATGGTTCGATGGACACTGAGCAAGTACAATGGAGACGCGAGCCGTGTCTTCGTCACGGGGACATCTTCCGGCGCCATGATGACCAGCGTCCTCATCGGAGCCTACCCCGACATGTTCGCTGCCGGGTCCGCGTTCTCAGGTGTGCCTTTCGGGTGCTTCGCAGGCAATGGGTACGGCGTGTGGAGCGACGCATGCGCCACCGGCAAGATCACGCACACGGGGCCTGAGTGGGCGGCTTTGGTTGAGGCCGCGTACCCCGGGTATACGGGGTGGCGCCCAAAGATGATGATTCTCCACGGCGACCAGGACGAGACTCTGAACTTCACGGACTTCGGCGAGGAGATTAAGCAGTGGACGTCGGTTTTCGGGATCAGTGACACGCCCACCAGCACCACTTCTAACACGCCTGTTAGTAACTGGACGAAGTATGTGTATGGCAATGACGACTGGTTCGAAGCCTACAGAGCCGGAGGGGTACCGCATAACATCCCGAACCAGGAGTCGCTAGTCATGAACTGGTTCGGCCTTACATGTACCTCAGGAGACTGCTTCAAATGGGGGCAGGGCCAAGGCTAGCTTAGAGGAAACAGTGTTTGTTTGTTTGTTTGTTTTGTATTTAACGTGGGGGGTAGCTCCTCAGTAGTGCAAACCACGCCTCCCAGAGCCATTGCATCGCAAGGTTGTAGAGGTGTCAAATTAGATACATTCAGATCCGCGCACGAGCCTATCCTCGCTGTAGCGGTACCAATCTGGAGTGTTCAGATGGTTTTAGTCAATACCCAAGCACGATTCCGTCAGAAAAACCTCCTATCTAGTGACAAAGCGACCCAGTGAACCTCAGTTCTCTGGTGTACATATCGTTCCAGTAGCCGTTCGATATATGTCGCATTGGTGGGTGGAGTAGGTGTTTGTTATCTGCTGGCGAGGGAAACCACAAGGGGGAAAACCTCGCAGGAGTGGGTATTGTGGAGACAAGCTGCTTGGCTATCGGGCTCTGCGATAAAATGGGGCCTCTCCACTGTCGTGTGCTGGTTATCGACTCGCACAAGCCGGGTCAGAAAGGGGGCCATAGCAGGATTCGAACCCACTTGTTCTCGTCGCCCACCGCACAAACGAGAACACAACCAGGCGCATTTGACCATTGCGCCATACGGCCATAGGAAACAGTGATCAGCGAGATTAGCAACAATGGGCAAACATACTCGGGCTTTTGGCAAGTGTATTGACATCTGATATCTTCCTTGGATTCAAGTTAGTAAGTCTGAGTTTGAATCATACTCCTCATGTTCATGGTTTTGAAATTGAGCATAACAAGTCTGGTGTGACACCATCAGGTCGTGAGTTACTCACAATACATAAGGGCTCAAGTCTTAACACTTACCCGGTTGGTCGACCTGCGTGTATGTTACCGTATGCTCTACCACCGCATGCAACTACTAAGCACTTACCAGCACCTGGCTTGAGTATTACCACTCCTAAAGATAGAAGAAACATCAAGCGTAAAGAAGCTGCAGTTTCGTCTGTTTTCGAAATTCTGTGTGGTAACGGCGGGGACCTAGATGTGGGACAGCCCCCCATGTGGGACAGATTTTACACCTAATCCCACTATGTTCACTTACACGTATCTCTGTTAATTCTGAAGCTGTAAATATCACAATAGTATCATTAGAATCTTCTTTCCTTGGTGTTTTGATATCATATGGAGTGTTAGGTTCTGCTTCCGTACCAAGAACGTACCATCCCCCATAGAAGTCGGACACCCCTACTAGTCGGACAGCCAAACCCCACCATCACCACCAAAACACCCCTTTATTCACTTACACGCTTTCAGCCCGATATTGAAGTTACTAAGGATGTATTATTGCTCTAGATAGCCCTGATCTTGGGGTTTACTCCAATGTAGAATTTATCCCGCCTAGCCTATGTGATTGGTCATCTATTATCCCGCATTTCTTACCTCGAATAGCAAATCTACGGCCCTATGAGGCTCCCCTGAAGCCTTGTTCTATATGTAACGCAGCATCGTATAGCTGCCCAAAATGCCTCTTTATCGTATAAAGAGGATCAGATGGCGAATGCCATCTTAGATATCACGGATAAGGGCCTGTCTTTACAAAAAAGCGCTCAAAAACACGGCATCCCGCCCCAAACGCTGTCTGATCGACTTAACGGCAAGCCTATGAGGGCTGAAGCCCACACGCAGCAACAGAGACTCTCCCCTGCTCAAGAAACCACTATAGTCGAATAGATTTTGCGTCAGGAGAAGCTAGGATTAGCCCCTTTGCACTCCCTAGTTCGTGAGATCGTCACGAAGTTGTTGAAAAAGAAGGGAGATGAACGACCTCTGGGAGACACCTTTATGGCGGGTTTCAAGCACCGCAACCCTCAAATAAAGACTAAAATTGGCAAAAGGATGGAATCAGCGCGCTTTAAGGGGTTCACGCCCAAGGCAGTCAACTGGTTCTTCGAAATTCTCGAGGATTACGGCTGGGTGAGGCCAGAGAACACGTATAATGTCGATAAGGGCGGCATTATAGCGGGCTATGGTAGCTCTATTTACCCCTTTAATTCCGCAAAATTCTAATCGTATTCATGTCATGGTCTGGTATAGGTAGCCCATGTGGTGAGTCCTGGAGCCCGGACATGAGTACATGTACCACCATTGAATGTCAAGCTGCCACGCTTGATATTCAACATCCTTTTGGGAGGAACAGCCGTGGCATGGTGGTTATAGTGAGCGTTCCGTCACAATTCACAGGTATCGACTCTCTCGTTCTGCTACCAAGAAATCCTTCCTTAAGAGCCCCCAGAGCCGCAGTTGGACCTCCTTCATCGAGGCCATCTCAGTCACGGGAAAAATCCTTAAACCGGGCATTATCTTTAAGGGGAAGGACCCCCAGGTCCAATGGTTTGTCGAGGAGTTCTGAAAGATCACCGATTGGCATTTTATATGCTCAGAAAACAGCTGGACCTCCAATGACATAGCCTGCCAGTGGCTAGAAGACGTGTTCATCCCACAGGTGGACAAGGTACGAGGAAAAGATCAGTCTGAGACTGTTCTTTTGATAATAGATGGCCATGGTAGCCACACCTCCGTACGTATATGACTTTTCCTAATTTTATTTAGACTTCCTTTAATTTTCTGGAATTAATCCGAGCTAACGCGTGTTAATAGGACGAATTTATGACTATGTATTATTTCGCCAACATCTTGCTCTGTTTCTTCCCTGCCCACACCAGTCACGGCATGCAGCCCCTGGATAACGGGCCCTATAATGCTCTGAAGGCTCACTACCAGAAATTTCTCTCGCAGCTGAATTCCTTGACGGATACCTCGCCTGTTGACAAGATTAACTTCATTCGGTGCTATAGCCAAGCAAGAACTTCTGCTTTTACTAAGGCAAACATCCTCTCTGGATCAGAACCACTGGATGTTATCCAATCAGCCGCAGGAAGTGTCTAATACATCCAGAAATCCAGGAAGATAAGCAGAAGACCCCTGAGCCTGAGACCCCTGAAAGCTCTGAACCTGAGGACCAACAGACTCCTACTACAAGCCGGGAGATTATGGATTTTGGCAAAAATAAGTCCCCTGGCACCTACTTGAAGTAAAGGAAGATAGCCAACGCGTCCGAGACCAAGGAGACGGAAGTTATCATCCAAGCCCGGAAGATCAAAGCCCTGGAGGCTGAACTGGAGCGGCTACGGCCCAAAAAGCAGCAAAAGATCCCTAATCCTAACAAGAAGTTAAGAACAGTGACAGAGATCTTGTCTAAAGAATGTACTATTAGCCTAAAATGCCTATAGAGATACAAGAAGAGATAATTATTGAGTCAGAGGATGAAGAGGAAGATGAGGATGAAGCCCCTGAAGAGGCCGCTTTGGAGGCCATCCAGCAGCCTAGGTTGACACGTTCCGGCTGCGCGATACGGGCGCCCGCTAGACTGTACGAATGAGCAGCTTCAGCGCTCTCGAATGATAATTTTGCTGAATTTCTCTGATCTGAATGGCTTCTTTTACATATGTGTGAATAAAGGGGTGTTTTGGTGGTGATGGTGGGGTTTGGCTGTCCGACTAGTGGGGGTGTCCGACTTCTATGGGGGGGATGGTAGTGGGGTGCTGAACTTGAACCGAGCCTGGCTCCCACCAAAGGGTCGGGAAAACCAGCCTTGCGGCAGCCGTGCGGCAGCCCGAAACGTAAAATTTCGTAGGGGCAAAACTTCATGTAATTGCAACTCCAGTATCATAACAAAGTACAAGGAGTAGCTAGACTTAAAAGGAAAAAATAGAATTAAAGAATATTACCATTTAAACAAATATCTTGTGGCATCACTATTGGTTGAGTTATAAAGGTCGCAATATTGGAGTTTTGGTGAGAAAACTGTCCCACATGGGGGGCTGTCCCACATCTTGGTCCCCACCGTTAATGTTATAAGAGCCGTCAATGTTACCTAATGACCATTGCCTATCACATACAGGCTGATCTGTCCTGGTCAGAGCATCCAGATTTGCTGCTGGAACTCTGGACAGGTTAGGACAGAGCAAAATACATCTATAGCCGTGGAACGCGGTCAAGGTTTCCTGAACTCAGGGTTTATGTTTATCCGCCACTGGCTAAGTCACGTCCCAGCATACGAATGGCGTGTCTGGGAAGTTGGTGGGGTCGATATTGGGCGGCATTTGAAGGGACAGAGACCGATGTTTCATATATTTAGCGACCTACCTACGTCACTATCCATTGATCCATGTTTTTTTTCGGTCCATTGACCAAAGTTTATTCTTGTTGGCCCAGGCAGCTACGCAGAACGGCGTCAAAGTCCTCCGCGATCCCTCCCAAACCACCGACCTCTGAGTACGTTACTAGTGATGCGGCAATGTGGGCGGGATCGCGGCGGATTTTGACGCTGCTGTGCCAGGTCCTCGATCCCGCGGTGGTTCCTACTTTCTTATAATGATAGATATGTTCCTACTTTCTTATAATGATAGATATCAGTTATCACTATAGGATCACCAAGATAGTTTTCCACCAAGATCCTGAACGACGGTGAACCCGCGGGACGAGTTATTCGGCGGCCGATGGAAAACCGAGCGTTAGAAAGACAGTTTTGCCACAATCTACCAGCGCCAGGTCAGATGGGAAGGACCTGTCACTGTGATGGAATCATACCCACTCGAGTGACACTGTCACTGCGCTTGCGTCCGTATTATGAATGACATTGATGGCGCCAGAGACGTCGTACTGAGCAGACACACTATCCTCGTTACTACCGTTACACAGCGTACTGGTTACCAGTAACTGCACACAAATCACTCGTGGCTACAACCACCAAACGACACTCTGAACATAACCGACCATGCACTGGTATCAGTTCATCGGGCCTGCGATGCTGTGCATATGTCCTGTTGCGCGGGCGGGTGGCCATGCTTACGATTTTATGTAAGAATATACTTGGCGATTATTGTACATTTTACTGACCAATATTCCTTAGGGACTTCAACGTCAAGCAGCAGACAGTCTCCGTGGCGCGCGGTGGTGAACCACTCGCGGCCGAAGTTTACAGCAACAACGTCTGGGTCGGCATTGTGAACCGAATTAAGGGCGATAAGAAGAGGGAAAACAAGGCCGACCTCGCCTTTCCATATACTAGCGGCGACAACACATGGATCTCACTAATTGGGCAGCTCAAGAAAGGGGTGAGAATCAAGGCTGGAAGGAGATCGAGGCTTAAGTCCTACCACCCGTCTTGGTTGCCGATTCCGCCGAGGAGCTGCAGGATATGAAGGAGCTCGTCGAGGGCGTTATCGAACAAGTCCAGAGCATCAAGGGCGTCGGTGACGTCATTTTCGTGAATCGCAGCCTGCAGGACATCTGCCGGGTCGTGGTTTCTGACCATCCAAAATACGAGGACGACGATTGGGTCAGTGTCGAGGAATCTGCCGTTAGCTCGTAACCTCGATGCATTGATTTTGCCTCACCCCAATGCACCCTAGAAGTACAGAGACGCCTAGCTAGGCACGGCCGCACGAGTGATTGATTGTATTTATCGTGGGTGCAGTCCCTCTATAGGGCAAACCACGCCTCCCAGAGCCATTGCATCGCAAGGTTATAGAGGTGTCAGTCTAGATACTTTCAAATCCGCGCACGAGCCTATCCTCGCTGTAGCGGTACCCACCTAGAGTGACCAGATGGTTTTAGTCAATACCCAAGCACGATTCTGTCAGAAAAACCTCCTGTCTAGTGACAAAACGACCCAGTGAACCTCAGTTCTCTGGTGTACATATCATTTCAGTAGCCGTTCGATATATGTCGCATTGGTGGGTGAAGTAGGTATTTGTTATCTGCTGGCAAGGGAAACCACAAGGGGAAAAACCTCGCAAGAGTGGGTGTTATAGAGATAAGCTGCTTGACTATCGGGCTCTACAATAAGGGGCCTCTCCACTGTCATGTGCTGGTGGGCGACGAGAACACAACCAGGCGCATTTGACCATTGCGCCATACGGCCACTTATTGACATCTGTTAGCAGTAGAGCCCTGTCGATTTTGGCTAGAAAACGCGGCTAGCCGCATTTATGTGTCTTTTAGCAATACTTTAATCCTTAGAAAACTAGCTTGCTTTGATGCGCTTTAACTGTCAGGCCATAATCCAAGCTAATAAGGATTGATTGATTGATTGATTGTATTTAACGTGGGGATTGCTCCTCAGTAGTGCAAACCACGCCTGTAAGAGCCTCTGCATCGCAGGGTTGTGAAGGTATCGAGATAATAAGTACAGTCAGTCCCGCTCACGAGCCCATCCCCGTTGTTGCGGTGGTATGACCTTGGGTCATCCATCTGGTCCTCTAAAAACAGCTATCTATCAGGGGCAGATTGATGAGAAGAACTTGCTCTTCTCGACATATCTTGCCCATTCCGCGCTCCTCTCCCCCACGTATTGTAAACAAGCTGCCCTAAGTGAGCACCTGGGCAACAGTCGGTTTTTCCTAAGCCTTTTGTAAAAGAAAATATATTGCGGTGTTTTCTTTTTACTGTAACTGCAGTAGTCATTCGAGTCTGTATGCCCGAAATGTTTGTGGTATCCAGCAAAGTCGCCATATTCAGACCTGGCCGCTAAAAGTCTGTGTAAAGTGCTCCTTTCAAAAGATATGAAGTTCCTCTTGGTTACCCCATGCGAGTATACTTCTTGATACCTAGGTTCTGATTGACCTTCCCACCATTGATCGAATTCTTTCTTGCCCTTCCTCTTGAGATCTCTCTTTACCCAAGAGATTGTGGGAAGGTTCGTCGCTTCCGTTTCTAGCATGACACCCTCTTTTGCTAGTGTGTCAGCAACTTTGTTGCCATCGATATTGTTGAATGGGAGCCGGAAATAGACACCGGAAGATCTCCAGTGGGGTAGAGACGCACAGGGCATCTGACCCACCAGGAAGACCGATGATCAATCTCTGTACGCAGAAGAAACAGAACAGAACAAGAAGAACAACAAAAAGACACTTGACAACCTGAATAATATGAACTTGCTTGCAAGTAACAGTTAAGAGTCTCATTTGCTCTAAAAGGAGAATACTCACAAAAGATCAAGCGATTTTTACATCTATATATCACCGAAAATGACGACACTGAACAACGACCGTACTATCTTATCTCGCCCCGAAGACTGGGAACGATTGAACGCCGAATTCCAGACCAAAGCCGTAGCTTTTGACCTCTGTGATTACATCAATCCAGAAGACAAGGTTGCCTGGCCGACACAGCCGAAAGAGCCCTCATACACAAATTACCCAAAGAAGCTCGGACGAGGAACGAGAACCTCAAGCTCGATAACCGTCAGTGGAGATAAAGAATCGGTCGACCCGACATGACGACAAGCTTGTCGATCCTGCGCATAGCTACCTGACGCCAGGCCAGTCCCGTCCCCACAGTATGTCATAAAAGTCCTATGCATGGCTAGGGGGCGTTGGGTTGCGGCCGCAGTCCACTGTATTAGCATTAAGGTATGTGGGTATCTCTTCCACGGTCATGGGTGTAGTGGCCACACTGCGCGCAGCAAATTTCAAGACAAGGGGTAACTATTAGCGACCTTCTATTCTAGGACCTATCTGTTACATAATTATGGTGCGATTATGTTCTACCCCGGACATATTGGGACATAAGCCATTGAAATTTGAGGGGTTTAGAGCATACTAGCTATGCCGGCGCTTCACGCCTTGCTTACCCAGCTAAAGTACTGAGCAACGCTTACTAGTTGCTTAAGCTAGTTGTTAGCTAGCCGGCTAGACGATACCGCTTCTTTTGGAAGCGCCTCTGCTGGCCAGGGATCCAGGTAATCTCACCCAGGTGGTCCCATCCAGGCGATCTCCGTGGTCTCCAGGTGGTACCCGTGGTCGCAGGGTGGTCCCCTTGATCTCCAGGTGGTCCCCGTGGTCTCATGTCATAAACCGGAAAACGGAGCGGAGATCACGAAATGCAACAATATCGCAAAAGATCGAGTTTCGCCTTTATGAAATAAGATTCACACGGGCATAGCCTAAGTCGCTCCAGTTCGCCAAATAATAGCGAGTTCAACATACATCGTCTTGAACAAACATAGAGTTTCGTCGATTCATCCGGGCTATACACGGTACCGTCAGATACCAGTGCCATGCTCCACGTTCTAGCTTCGTCCTTGATACTACCAGTAGCCTGAAACCGGGCAATTCGCTTTTCGCCTTTCGCGGCGTAGTCTGGGTCTGCTGGGATAAAAATAGCGGTCATTCTTGTTTTCGTCTGGATCGTCAAGGCGCTTGAGGATGCGGCTGAGTCCTAAAGTCCACATCGTCCAGGGGCTATAGGGGCTACAGGGCTGACATAGAGCGCCATTCCGGATGTGGAGATGAGGCCAGGTCCGGCCGTCAGCCGATGACCGTAAGCCCCTCAGCCGTGCCAAGCCCCGTCGTCAGCCCCTGAGCCGTGCCCAGCCCCGTCGTCACACACTCCGCACCGGCGCCTCTCTCACTGGGCCACCAACCCGGATACTACACTGGCTGCAGCCTGCCTAGAGACTGCGGTTCTTCTCCCCAGCAATGTAGACTCGTGTAAGCTTTACTGTCAGCATGGCACACCAAGTAAGATCTAAATATAACCCTATAGTCAAACATCGCAAGTGGTTCTGGTCGATCTTCTTTCCATGTACTTGATAGGTATTCATAGTACTGTTGGTACTTCTAGTTCCGGGTGGTCTTCCTGTAGTCACACATGGTTGTTCAAGTTGTGAAAATACCTCCAGCATACCAATATAGCCTTGAGAACTTCGGATGAGTATTCACTAGGTATTTTGCGAGAGCCCGCATGTGTACCATGACGTGATGTCGAAACAGCAGCCCACGAGACTTCTCAGGGGTGCCACGACGGGATATAAAGCAGCAGCCTCCTCCCTCACTCTCTCTCTCATCAACTCAACCAGACACAGATCAAACATCAAGCCTCCACAGTCTACTAGTATTCCACAGCACTTCAACCACCGCTTCAACACCATCTTCAACACATCATCATGTTCGCCTCTACCACAGTCCTCGCCGCCCTAGCAAACATCTTCATCTCCCAGTCACTCGCCGCCGCCGTCCCCAACGCCCCCGTCACAGTCGTAGCTCGTGGTGGTGGATTCCCCGCGTCCAACCCCCCGGGGGTCACCTGCTACAACACCTGGGAGACGGTCACCAACGATGTAAGTCAAGTTCAGGAGAACGGCACAGACTTCTGCCAAGCCCAAGACGTCACTACCTCATTGCTAACCCTCACTCCCACATTAGCCCGTCGTCCAGTACTGGTACGTGACTGTCCAGGATGCCGGCAATTCCATCAAGGCCGACCGCGTCTGGAACCACCTGAACCTGAACGGCTGCGCCCCGACCGAGAACAAGTACCACGTGGAGTCCGCCATCAACGGCTGCGCCCTCACCTTCCACACCAGCGAGGCCTGCACCGCCGCGCGTGTCAGCGACGCCCTCCGGTCCGGCTCCGACCCGGCCATCAACATTGCGTGTTCGTTTACCGGAAAAGACGGCCCCGGCGCCGGTGAGGCTGTAGCTTCGGCCATCGACGGAACGCTCGAGGGTATCCTGGAAGGACTTGGAGGCCTCTAAGCACGTCACGCTACTAACCCACCATCCATCCCGGCGTTGCTTTCGTTGGTAGAGGAGGAGGGATATTAATGTGGGACAGGGACACGGTCTTTTTGTATATAATAGGCACCACCAACTGTCATTTCCCTGGGACTATCCGACTTCAATCGCATCACGAGATTGCATATACAGAGCATTCTGCAGGTAAATTATTTGTCTCCATCGTGTTACTTTCATCCATAGCAACTCTTTCAAGTACCGGTCCAAAACACATTGCCCATCTTCCGTTGAATTTATTGTCGAATTAATTCCTGGCTATAATCCGCTCCTGCGGAACCACCAGATCTGGCCCAATCCAGTCGGAGAGTGCGTGAAGTGTGTTGATGATTGAACTGATTGCGTCAAGTATCATAGCAGTGGCGTGCTTAGCCCTGTTGTGATAGCTAGGGTGTCATCCCGAGGAATCACATGTTAGCTGTCAGAGGTCCCTTTCCCACATATATAAGTAAGATGATACCCCCATCAGCTATCCCTTATTTCTCTTCCAATACAGACCTTTCCCAAAATCAACAGATTGCCGATGCCGTTCCGCCACCAACCTGCAAGACTTTCAAACCAGGAGTTTGATATGCTAATAAATCTAGGTAATTTGCTGCCTGGAGATTATCCCTATAGTAGGCTAGCTCTCTATAGTCCTTCATGAGTAGGCCTCTTGTCCCCATCGAGCGTTCGAGCGGAATTGGCCATTCCAGTAAACAGCGCTATCAGATCCGATGTAGGGGTAGCGTAGAGACGCCCAACAAGATTGGTATCTTCCACCTTCTCTAGATGGTCGTGAACAAAAGTAATGTCAATATCTAACTAACAAAGCTTAGAATAATAGAAGTAAAAATCGAGTGACAAGGATGCATAACTTCTATTTTGAAGCCTTTGTGGCATTTAGCGTTTGGCGAAATCAAGTTGCCTAGATTCTATTGTCCCTGGCTGAATGATGACTATGTGAATCCCGAGCTTCATGATGACCTGCTCCTATATTATCTAGCCAATTGATTGTTCCACGGCATGATGTGCATTTAGTAGCACGGGGACTCTGCTTTTTGTTGTGAAAGCTGGCGCTGGGGCCATAGAAACCAAAAATCGAGATTATATTCAAGACACTGCCTCTTTCTGTCCCTGGTCCAGGATCCAGTTTCTGACTATAATCCAATTCCCGCTCATATTGTTTTTTAAAACATCCAAAAGAGCAGATATCACTCACCGCCTGCCTGCCTCGCCTACACCATTCTGATACCGCCTGCTTGATGCGACACCGCCTTCCCGATACGGCACCGCGGGGTCAGAAATTAATACTTCTGAGCCTAATTTGAGGGGTCCCAGCTCCCGTACCCTCTATTTCCTCCTATCTAGCATTGGGCGCATATACCATAAAGCGAAAATATTCACTAAGCTTAATGAGTGGAACAAAGAAAATGTACAATTCATTGTTCTACGGGCATAAAGGCTGCAATGGCTAGCATTTAAAGTGATTTATACGTCAGAATTCTGAGATCCCATAGTGTGTATCAGGTGCTATTAAGACGCTTTCTTATCGTTGTATGGCATCGCTTCCAAGAGGGGTGACGCCAGACATCAGCACGGCATCAACTCATAAAGCTGCGGGCTGTATGAAAGGATCCGCGCCTACCAAAGTCGTGTCCTACCAGTCAAGGGTGCACAAAGCGAGAGACACAAGCAGAGAGAATGTGAAGACAAAATGGAAGACTTTAGTCCGGACTGGATCACAGCTCCGCCTCGACCACGGGGTATCCGTGTAATTCTCGAAATCGGTACCGCATGAAGGCAAACATTACGTGTTTCAAACAACACCAATACAACCCTGTTATTGAAAGCAGTAATTTCCGCCGACTACCAGGGTTGGGATAGCCCATGACATGTCGCATTGAAGATGGCGTGGGAGACAGTTTAGCCATTGAATCGTATGACAACGGCAAATGGTAAACAAGGAGGATCTACTCTGTGGAGGTTCCCGTACTAGATAACATCGTCACTTGATACGATTGCTTATAAAGCGGAGTAAAAATGCCTGCTATGTGCCTTGTGGTAACGGTATCCAGAATAAGGACCAGGGTCACATATAGTGGCTATTGGTCTGTATTCTGGAAGTTGCTTGATTGAAAGAAGGGATGGGTGGGGTCCCCATCCCAGAAGTAGCTATCATCCCAGTTGGGTACGAATCGGGTACAAACGGGTACCAGTTGGGCTCCAAGGTACCTTGTACCCTGGTCCGTGACCCATCCGTCATTGTGGCTGGAAAATGGGTTGAGGAGCCACAGCTATACCTGGTTCACGCTTGTATTAGTCTCTGGAATATGATTTCCAAATTTGATCAACCGGACCAGCGCCTGTTATGACCCTTGCGCTCACGCCACCTGTGCCCTTCATCTGTCTAGCATCTAAGCGGCAATTTTAAGTTTTTATATAGGCATGTCGACGTCTCCTTTTGTTTGTTTGTTTGTTTTGTGTTTGTTTCGTATTTAACGTGGGGGGTAGCTCCTCAGTAGTGCAAACCACGCCTCCCAGAGCCTCTGCATCACAGGGTTGTGGAGGTCTCAAGATAATAAGTACAGTCAGTCCCGCTCACGGGCCCATCCCCGTTGTTGCGGCGGTATGACCTTGGGGTCATCCATCTGGTCCTTCGAGAAAAGCTATCTGTCAGGGACAGATTGTTGAAAAGAACTTGCTCTTCTCCACGAATTTTGCCCATTCTGTGCTCCTCTCCCCTAAGTATTGTAAACAAGCTGTCCTAGACAAGGACCTAGGCAGTAGCCGATTTTTCCCCAGTCTCTTACAAAAGAAAATATGTTGTGGTGTTTTCTTCTCACCACAACTGCAATGGTCATTTGAGTCTGTATGCCCAAAGCGTTCATGGTATCTGGCAAAGTCGCCATGTCCAGATCTGGCCGCTAGAAGTCTGTGTAAAGTACTCCTCTTAAAAGATATCAGGTCTCTTTCAGTTACTACGTGTGAGTATACTTCTTGATATTTAGATTCTAATTGGTCTTTCCACTATTGGTTGAACTCCTTTCTGCCCTTTTTTTTGAGATCTCTCTTGATGTAAGAGATTATAGGAAGGCTTATTGTGTCTGTTTCCAGCATGGCACCCTCTTTTGTTAATATGTCAGCAGCTTCATTGCCATCAATATCTCTGTGTCCAGGAATCCACTTGACGGTCACTCCAGGAGTGTGTGCTGTGGCAAGTTCTTGAAATCGTAAAAAAATATTCTGTGATGTCTCAGGTGGAGTCCCATTGAGCCCATCTACCACTGACGTGTTGTCCAGGCAGACATATAGCTGTTTTCTGTGTCCAATTGCCCTGGCTGCTACAAGACCTTGGAGAGCACCATGGACTTCAGCATCTATTACTTCTGTTTGGAGAAGTCTGCCCTTTCCCCGGTATACTTCTTGTGTAGTGCCGCCTTTCCTGATGGTATAACCCCATCCAGTGTGGGTTGTGCCTTGGTCGTCCAACTGTGATCCATCTGAATAGATGACAAGGTCAGTGTTCATTCACGTTTCTCTCTTGTAGCCATTGCTTGAAGAGCTCTGTTTCTTTGTCTTTGTCTTTGCGGATTGGGGGCTTCTTCCATGATGGCCTGGTGAGTGTTGGTCTCTGGAAGTCAGGGACTAGTTGGAAGCTCCTTTATAGCCTTGTTGGTTCTTTGCGAGCTTATATTTAGAGCCTGCCAACAAGAGGGTGTCTCTGATCTACTCGTCTGAGTCGGAGGCCGTGACGTCTTCTTATTGATTCTGCAAGAATTCCTGCTGGAGGAATCTGTGATTCAAAGTGTAGGATATGTCCAGGGTGTGTTTTCCAGACTGGCAAGATAGCTCTGATTGCTGTTTGTAGTACAGCATCTATCGTTCTAAGAAGCCCTTTAATGCGACATGCTGATGTCCCACCTAAGCTCCCAATTTTTTCCATTCCTGGGTACCAGGCCTCCAGGCCATGTGTAAGAATAGGAATAACACAAGTTTTCACAGCCCTCTTGGTTAACTTTACTGGAAGTCCTTTGACTGTGTTGCATAGTCCTCAAAGGTGGTTTGTTACCCTACTAGCTTTCTTGGCCCAGTAAGAAACGTGATTTTTGAAGTTTAGTTTTTTATTCAGGAGGACACCCAGCCATTACATAGAGTCCTTTACTGTTTTGTTTATTGTCCCGTGGCGGACCGGAGGATTGTCTGAGTTCTTTTTTCGTGAAAAGTGCATGATCTCGGTTTTATTGGGATCAAATTCAATAGTGTTGTTATGTCCCTATTAATTAAGTAGATAAAGATTTTCAGAAGCCTCTATGGCTATTTCTTTAAGGTTCTTTCTGATATAAAGAGTCGCTAGGTCATCTGTGTATCCAAAGTGTCTCCTTTTCATACCGAGTCGAGCACAGATTGGTTGTGTATACAACATATAAAGGATTGGAGAGGCTGGTGAGCCTTGTGGTAGCCCACAAGTGAGAGCTTTTATATCAGTCACGATACCTTCAAACCAAACCCTTGCGGACCGCTCGGACATGAATGACTGGACCATCTTATGAGAAAGCCCGGCCAGCCCTGTTCTCTCATGCGAACCACCAGCCGTCCCATTAGGGCAGCATCAAAAGCCCCTTTCACATCTGACGTGACTACCGTTGCAACGAGGCCTTGGTTGAGGACCTGCTCAATATCGTGTATGAGTGCAGCTACCAAGTCAGTGGCAGACCGCTTTGGTAGAGCTCTAAAATGTTGTAGAGCTAGAATTCTAAGTTTAATGATTAACCAGGTAATTCTTTTTGTAATGAGTCGTTCAAGGCCTTTGCCAAGACATGACAACAGCGATATTGGTCTGTAGGCCCTGGGATTGGAGTAGTCTTTCTTTCCTGGTTTTAAGATCATCTCCACCTCAGCTACTTTAAATGGTTTAGGGTTGTGACGGCCTGCACAGACCTTCCCATATGACAAGTGGATACTTCCCAATAGGGGAAGAATCTGACCAGAGGATGCCCTTAAAGGAGCAACCTCCCACTGTACCTATCTCTCTCTCTCTCTTCCTTTCCTCTCTAGTCTTGATATTCTCGTCAATAGAGTAACAGCTTGCTGCTGGCCATGTCCCAGCTACTCAGTACGCTCGACGTGACAGTCTAGCTGGACCTGAAGGTCTGGCTAAGTGACCTCGCAACCCGGTACCTAATCTCTTATCTAATCATACATGTGAGTCCCGATATAGATGGTTTACAGGCTGGAATTTCATGGATCCAACAGTATCAGTCTTTAAACTTGTTTGCTTCGACAAATATTAAGAAACTTTAATGAAAAATTAATAAGTTAAATTTCAATATATTATAATTAACTATGAAATAATAAGTATATATAGTTAATATATAATTCAGTGAGGTTTGATTATAGCTATAAACAAACGGAATTTATTAATTCACTTTTTAAAATTTGTCTTTGTTATGATAAGTTTTTAAGGCGTACTATTTAGAATACATTAAGCTTTTCTCGTATTTATAAGATCCAGGTTATGGATAATATTGAATAGAAATATTTATATCTAATAAAAACGACTTATCGTTTTTATGGTACAAAAAAAGGAAATAAAGCCTTATAAGAAGAAATTGACGGAATGTAATTATCGTTTTAAAAGCTCGAATATTTTTAAAAGTTAATTAAATCATCTAGAAGCATCGTAAACTAAGTTTAAAATAAAACGAAATACTTTAACGAGGCAAGAAATCTAGTAAAGTAAATAATTGGACTCTTTTTAAGCTGATTAAATACTAGTCATGATAATTATATAATTTACGGCTTTTTATATGCTTATTACAATGAATTCAGAAACTACGTAGTATTTATTAATATAAATTTCATATTTAAAAACAAGGAATTTTAACTTTTTAAGGAATAAATCAATTCTAAAAAGTATTAATAAAATATTATACATTTCATTACATATATAAGGTATTTTTTCATTACTTAATAAACCATAATAATAATTATATTGAAACATATGTTGAAATATATAATATGTTTCAATATTTAAATATTTAATCATTCATAATTATTTAATTCAAAATTATTATAATTATAAATAAATTTATGAATGAATGTAATACTTTAAAATATCATATATACAGATCAGTTATAATTTTTTGTTTAACTTAGAATAATATTAATATTAAATGATTTAAATACCAATTATACAAAATATATAATTATTTTAGACGCATCCATTTAAAAAATGTGACGAGCCGTCTAACCTATAAGGCTAAAGGGTTCTATGGGGTTTATGTTCTGAGGTAAGTCAACACAAAGGACGATAGAGGCTTCTGTCAACTAGAAGACACTCAGATACTGGGGCTTGGTCTGAACTGGGTTCACTGTATAGTCGAGTCGTCAGGAGATTTCTCCCACCTTAGGGTTGGCTAAGATGCTTAAATTGATCACTGAGGTTGAGACTGTCTATCTATCTGGTTGGGAAATATCTGTCCTTATATATCCAATCTCTCCCTCACTGATTAGGTGGCTCACCCTGGATCACCACGGTGATCCAGTGATCCAAATTCTTAGTCACGTGACCCTGGTTCTGCTGGTCACGTGATCTGTGTACCGTTGCTCCGTTCCTCCGATCTCTCCACTGATCAGCACCCCACTTACTGGTCAACCTGTTCCGAATCGTCTCCTCTTGGCCTGTTATCAGGCCGCACTGTTCATTGGTTTGTAACAAAAAAAACCTTTTAAAAAATTAATAATTAAACTATATATTATTTAAATAATTCAATTATGAATAAAATTAATCAAATGTCTTGATAAAGAATCAGAAAACTATTTTAAGAAAACCGTCAAATGTTGGATCCCAGATATGGTGCCTTTAGGTGCAGTACCCACTAAGGGGCTGTCAAGGGAACAGTGGATCCACCCTGGCATGGTGCAGCATGGTATTTAGCTGTAGATTAGCCCTGCCGGGCATACTTGAGAACGACAACAACGTTTGAAGCGACTGCTCACACCCCCAAGGCTTGTAACCCTTCTAGAATCTCATAAAAACATATTTATATTATGTTTTAAATATATATATGTTTTTATGAGATTCTAGAAGGGTTACTATTATTAAATATGTTTTTGTGAGATTCTAGAAGGGTTACAAGCCTTGGGGGTGTGAGCAGTCGCTTCAAACGTTGTTGTCGTTCTCAAGTATGCCCGGCATGGCTAATCTACAGCTAAATACCATACTGCACCATGCCAGGGTGGATCCACTGTTCCCTTAACAGCCCCCTAGTGGGTACTGCACATAAGGGCACCATATCTGGGATCCAACATCTGACAAATATTTAATAATTCAAAGTAAAAAAAAGAGATTTATATTAAGAACATGAATATTAAAATACATTATAGACGTACTTATCAGAATCATTAAAAAAACAGAGTTAATAATAGTAAAAGCCTTAATATTATACGTTTTATAAATAGGTAATATATTTATAAATTTTTTATATTAAATATTATATTTAATCTTTAAATTAGAAAGACTGAACATATTAAATTGATTAAGAGATATCAAAAACTCCCTAAAAATAGCTAGTTTGAAAAATTAATTAATTAATTAAGTTATAATAATATATAATTAAAAGCTTTATTTGTAACAATTTTATTATTATATATATATATATATGGTCTTTTGAATTGAACGATAATACTACTACATACACATCAAGAGTTTATTATAACCTATACTTTTTGTGTTTTTTTTTTAATTTTTACGTCATTATACGAGTATTACATATTTTACAAATAAAAAATAAAAAAGTTTTAATAAATTTTGAGACATTTATAAATTATGAAAGCACGTAGATATATTAATACTTATTGAATATAAATATAATTAATGATAAATCAAAAGGTTCAAACTTTAAAAAGATATATTATAATACTTATTGAAATATTACTTACTAATTGAGAGCAATATCCCAGATCCGATGAGTGCATGATGAACGGTACAGCGTTGTTGTATTCAGGAAAAGGTCTATCTACTCTGTTCTGTGTGCGATCGCTATATATGGGGGCCACGAAGCCTGTGTCACCCGACACGGCAACTGGCAGCCTTATCATGCTTACATACACAGATGGATTCAGCTCACACTAATCTTTTAATTAATATCAAATAGCTAATTTTTGAAATTCTTTTGTATTTACTATAATACAAAATTCTCCTTTAAAAAATCAACGTTTAAATCTATACAATGATTAGTTATATTATAATAATTCTTTTTCTTAAGCTAATTAAGTATATTAAAACTTTAATCAATTAATTATATCTTTAATAGTTTGTAGTTTATAAGTCTTACTTAAAAATTAATATATAAACTTCAATGCTTTATAAGCCCGTATTTGTAAAGAATAGATTTTAAGCAGGAATATAAGAAGCATTCTTTCATTTATTCAAACGACTATGACTAACTACTCACAACTTTTCCTAAGCAGTTGTAGGACTTCCAAAGCGCTGCGCAAACTCATCAAGAGCCTTGGCATTCATTCTTCCCATGCAGAAGAAAGAGTATGAAAGGATATCTTGCCCAACCGTTACACGGCCGCGGTCCTTGTCCCCATTCCGCAGCACACCATCCCACACAGGGGTACGTGGTGGTTGGCAGTCCTTTTCAGCGTAAAGAAATACCGCACAATCTCTCGGGATCACCTCCACCTTCCATGAGTTAAAAGGATTTCGCCTGCAATATTGTAGCAGGTAATAATATCCTTCCTGTCCCCGATCTCCAACGTGAGTTTTTGTGGTGGTTCATCGTCCTCGAGGGTTGTAAACGCCATCATCTGTTGTTGTTCTCCTCCTTTCCATAACTCGAATTTGGCCTTGTCTTTCTCCCCCTTCTTAATCGCTTTTGCGAAAGAGATGATCGGCAGGGCAATGAAGAGGAGTGGAAGAATCTCATGGTGGAGGCGATTCTGGCGTTGGCGATTCTGGCGGAGGCAAGAGGTTCCGTGCTCGAGTGTAATGTGTAATAGAGAAATATGATTCGCAGGCTTTCGGTTGATATATTGGTGGTAGTGTTTTGCTGGTGTTTGTGTTCTGCTGATGGTGTTGTGCGAAAATCTAGATCGAGTCATAACGTAAGAGACCGGGTAGATATAGAGACGATACACACCGTGCCCTTCGCCACTCTGGCCATGATATTGATGCTGACGATATGATGCTCATACATGAGTCCATTCTCCACCGAGAAAGATTTTTCGGTGTGCTCGAGGATGAGCTACCCGCAAAGATCTTTTCTAATGAGTGTCATCCTCCTACTCTGGCACGAGAGCTCCGTTGTTATTGACGAATTCGGTTCTCGGGGCTTCCGAAGCGCCATGCCGCCAGCATAAGAAGTTCCAGAGGAAAACTTATGTGCCACCTTCAAGAACTTCCATGCCCTTGCGAAGCACTTCGGTGTCCTCCTAGGCAAACCTTATGACCTTGGTGGAACATCAACACCTACAAAAACAATCCCATGCCCTTGTAGAGGACGTATGTACTACGTTGAAGGAGTTCTGTGCCAAAAAAAAATTTTATCATTGCCTTGGTGGGGGACATTTGAAACTGTGCCGCCAGTGCATTAGCTGACTTCTGCCCTTTTGGATCATAATCTGCCTTCTCAAAGAACTTCTCGCACGCTCTTTAAGTGGACAGGTGTCATTGAGGCTACAATGTGGTAGTTTGACGGGGATGTGGGTCATGTGGATGCCTCGCCACCATTCGAGAAGTCCAGGTCGTCAACATCCAGGGGGTCGAGCACAGTGCGGGAGGGGTGGTGTATTCGGTATGTTTTGCACCACCCGCCCAGACTAATATTGTCACTCACGTTCAGCGACGTAATAAATTATTATTAGTAAGTCTGTGTGGGCATGCCTCTCTTCTCGGTGTCGTCCTGTTTGTCCACCCATGCCGGGAGATCCCACGTGGTATTGATACACCAGCTGTCGCTCAGCCGATTCTTGCTCTCGGATGTCCGGTATACGACGGAGTGTCCGCTCAAATACGATTTTTCGGGGTTTACTGTAAGTTACAAGGTCAGCTACGAGTACAGAAACTCGGTCATTGGCGACTGCTGTGGCCCGAGGGGACGTGTCGCGATACGTAGAGATCACTCATCTGGCTTGAAGATATTCATTGAGGAGGTTTAGATGCCGTCAGCCATGTCTCTTGGTACCTTTCCTGGGTGTACACCATGCACCACCACTCCCTTGTGACGGGGTTCGGCAGCCAGGTGCTCAGTCAGGCGCTGCACACCCGTTTGGTGACTTGAGATGCACCCAAGGTGGGTTTTCGACTGTGCCCGCCCATGCTGCTGATGGTGACGAATGTCTTCTGACAGCTTCCAGTATCAGGGCAAACGACGCGCGCGTCGCTCGATAGGGGCCCTTGACATCGACAGTCCAGCAACTTTGCCACCCGTCGGGGATCTGTGCCTCCAATTGATGTCAGGCCAGTCGCCAGTCTGGAATTGCGGACGATGATGCCGTTGAGACTGAACGTTTCCCTGATCTGTCGACACTATCCTGACCCGACGCCTCCATTTACAGTGTCAGAATATTGGGCTTGGGCTTGCCAACGCTGTGTGCGGCATCTTGCATCGCCTACGAAACACCAGAAGTATCTGGACTTCAGATTCTGAAGTCGCGGCGATGGCAATCATTGAAGCACCCGCATGAGCGGAGGATACACCCAACGCTTTTCTCAGACTCCGGGAGCGACCGATGGCCTTCCCCCTGTCGCATTCTGTTCAGATGAGAGTCCGGGAGAGTCGCGTATCTGGACCCCTCGATCGGGTTGCATGTTTATCTCTAGCCGTGGACGAGGGTATGCTGTAGGTTCTTAGTTGAGTTGGGCTGCCATCGAAGGAGAGGACCCGAAATTGTATGCAACTCGTCACTCCGACACCTTCGTACAGGAAACCTGACTATACAAGTAGTCGTCTCGGAGCCGTGATATTGTCGTACCTTAGGGCATGAGGTAAGCACATTACGGGATCATCAGCACCTATGTCTCGGCCACGGTTCGTTGTGGTTAATACTGGGATGGCTCTGACTTTGCCTGTGTCAATAAAGCAGTGACGCTTGAGATCTCACCATGGTCGAAACTTTTAAAAGATCTTGTATGACCTGAAGCAGAACTCACCGAGGCAATCATTGCTCACATTGGAGTACTACATGTACAAAAGGTGTTGCAATAGCAATGGTACTCCCAAACAATGTAAGTTATAGGCGGAGTAGTAGCTCCGGTGCTTGCCACCCCCGAAGATGGGGTGGCCACAACCATGCGTCGCTAAGCCCTACGGACCTGCAGCTGAAAGATCCGGAAGAGTGCCTCCCTCGGGAGGTGACGTATTAGAGGAGCTTCAATGATGGTTGATTGTGAGGGGTAACAATAAACGGCGCAAAACATCCATTGAGGAGCAGTGAGCAACGGGCGGTCGCGGTGACTCGGGGACAGGGTGAATGAATGAGGCACGTGGAACAATCATGGATGGGGGCGCGACAATGGGACAATGACATGCCCGATCCATGACCTCATCGCGTCATCATCCAGTGCCGTCACTTAGGTAAGGAACGTTTATCTACCTTCCTCACCCTCAACCCTCCTACCCGAACCTCTCCCAATAAAACAAGACATCATCTACCGAACTCCTAGTCATTCACGCATTTCTAAACCTCAGAAACCTCTCAACTTCACACATTCCCATCCACCACCAAGAACATCCACATCTACGCACATCGCCATCATGTCCGCCCACGGCAGCTCCAACACCGGCTCGAAGCAGGGCACCGGCACCGCCTCGGCCACCACGACCCCCGCCAACGCCGGTCTTGGCGAGGACAAGCCCAAGTTGTTCGATGCCCAGGGCGCAATCGGCAAACAGTTCACCGGTAAGATCTCAATCGTTTACACGTAGCATCCAAACGCTACTAGAGCGCTGACATCGGGTACAGAGACAGGCGCGATCGGAAGCGTGGGAGAGAAGGTCGGCGGCCCCCTGGCCAGTGACGGCGCGATCGGCAAACAGTTCACGGCTGCGGGCAGCGTCGGCGGCTCCGTGCAGTCGGCACTTGGTGGCGAGAAGGGTCGGAGCAATTAGACGGACTGGCGTGCATTGCGCTGCTTGTCACTAGATCATGGATACAAAGCCGTTGAGATTTCCTAAGACGAGAGGTGTGGCATACATCAGGCATGGATTGTACAGTATGGCGAAACCTCAACGCCGCATGGGACGGGTCTAGACGACACGGACTCGTATGAATCGACGTTATCGTTATGACCAACACAAGATGCTCCAAAGTGTTGCCTCCAATCCCGGCCCTGTGGTCGCCGATGTATACGCCATCCTCAACATTGGTCATAACCTCATACCTCTCTACCCTCCAAGTCGAGGTGGCATCGGGCCCGACCCAGATGAAATCAATGCGATGACTGATCGCCTCCTCCTCATGGGAATTGAACCCAATAAACGTCGTATATGGGCCGAAGCGCCGTTGCTCAGTAGCCAAGTCATACACGTCCGACAAGTACCCATCCTGCATCACGGCAGCGTACGTATCCCCTCCGGCTCCGAATTGAAGTCGCCGGTAAGACTCACAGCCAACCCGGGCCCCCATTCCGCCTGCACATCCCGAACTTCGAAGAACCCGCAACACGATCCCGACCCCCTCCGACCGCGCCTCCGAGCTATGGTTATCCAAGTGCGTATTCGTAGCGACGAAACGCGTGCCCGTCTCCACGTCCTCAAAGACGTTAACGATGACATACCGCCGACTCCCCGCGCCGGGCCAAAACGACGGCGCATCCGGGGTCGGCGAGAGCCACTTCTGCGTGCGGCCCAGCAGCCGCAGATGGCCCGGCTGGTAGAAGATGGGGCAGTACTCGCCGGCCTCGACGCCGTCGTCGCGGCCCGTGCCGATGTACGCCCATCCGCGCCCCAGACCGGTCTGGATGTCGACGAATTGCTCGTGCAGGACCTCTTGCAGCCCGATACCCTTATTAACTATTGACGTATAACGAACTCTGGTTAAAGGAAAAGAAAGATCTGGAGATGCACCCAAATTGGTGGGCAGCTAGATATGCGCAGTCGTCCCCCACCAAACCCAGCAAGGCATGGATCAACCTATTGTCCGATCAGTCACGTGCTCAGTCACGTGACCCGGGAACCATAGGGACCATCGCTAGACCTGATGGATGGTGGAACCGTCACAGATTAACATTATTATAATTGATATAAAGTATGTTTATATAATGGTAATAAATCAAATAAAAATAATCTTACTTCAAAAGAATAGTAATAAATTCCGGAATAATTATTCATATACAGTATTAAAGTCATACGTTTACACAATCTTTATTCGATTATATTGATTTTAATATTATGTTAATAGATGTCTTGTTTTAAAAAACTAAAAAAAAGATAAAATTTTTATATTTATTTTACAATATTATTTACTACTATGTATACGGAAAAAGTAAAGCGAACCCTTTTATTAAAATAGACTGGAGAAAATAAGATATTTAATTTAACTTTTGCTTCAATTTCAGATTTAAAACCCGTAAAGTTATTAACGAATCTTTTTTTTAAAAAAGTAACTCTTGCTCGCCAGCTACACGCTACTACTAGCCACTTGATAGCGTTATAGTTTACACTGCTATAAAACCGCTAATAATAAAGTAAATATTTACAATATTAATGTTGATATTAACTTACGATAGCTTTACCATTAAGTTAATTATTAAAGTTTGAAAAGTACTTGTAAATTGAAGTTAGTATCACCATTTATATTAATATTAATTTACCGTTAACATCTATTAAGTTGTTTAAAACTTTGTGACAAAGATCTTACCACGTAAAACAGATCTTAATACCGCGCCAATGCGCGCGAGGCTGTAGAAACATGTGTTGAGAAGGGAAGGTTGGTTGTCTTACTAGCTAAGCTGTTGTGGCGATGGCCGTTTACATATAAGATTCTGGTACAAGGACCCGCAGGCCGGATAACGGAGCTTTCATGCGACCACACAACCTTTCCTTGTTTTCACATGCTTTCAGTCAATAGAAGAATCACCCGCTATCTGCTGCTATTACAAAAGATATTATCACCGTAAAGAAAAACCGTTACTTTCATAAAAAAAATACTACTTGGACGAAAAATGCTGCTATTGGAACAACAATTTATATTACAAGAAATGCTAGTGTTATAAGAGATACGCTTCTGAGATTTATTACCGGCAGTTAATAAAATGTAATAGCTATACCTATTAACAATTTACCGGCTATAAAGTAAGGTATTTTAAAAATCGGATACTTTAGGAATAGCAATTCTCCTTTTAAAATCCTATTAATCATGCTCAGACATATAGATACACACACAATAAATACGATTTTCCTCGCAGAAGGTTTTACAACCCCAGACTGAAATCGGATGGTATCGAGAGGTATCGATCGATGCTGGATGATTCACTCATCAGGACATAGTGAGATGCAAGAGCTCGTGCTGAGCGGGCTGTACATCAGCCCGTTGATGGCGATGTGACCGTCACCCTCAATAAGAGTTATCAATCACCTGTATACCTTCAAGTTCGCTATGACAGGACTTGTAATTTTGAATCAGTTGGTAAGTATGCATTTTATTGATCTACGAGATTCGGCTCTTCCTGCTACAGCCACTTAAGGCATGCAGCCCCGGCACTAACGGTGTCTGCTGCTCTTCTTTTCAGCCTCCTCGTAGCTATAGTACTTTCCGTAGTCATGTTGGCTACTGCTTCTACTGCTGTGATGCTTGCTGCCGCTACTATGGTGCTTTTCATGGTCCTTACTGCTGTGGGGCTTATTGCCGCTGCTGCTGTGGTGGGTAGAGCCCCCGTAATGGCCTTTCGCATCCTGGTACTGGTACTGTGGGACGCTCGTGGCCTGGGTTCGAACAAGTCGAGGTAGGCCATTGGCATAATACGTGACTCTGTGCGAGGACACATCTTTTGAACGGATGCGGTGTCTTTGAGAGTCATAGTGGTTGCCATCGTCGTAATTCATGGTGGCCTTGCGAAGAGAGGAAGGTTCAATAAGCTTTGAAAGTATGATGCGATGGCTAGATGAATTGCTGTGATCCAGAGGTCTGAGTCTTACTCACGAGGACTGACTGGCTAGGATCAATACTTGAGGGCGTGGAGCATACTAGCCTTCTTCCATTGATACCTAGACAAGGAGATTTTACCGACAAAGCTCCCGTTAGCACCGATACAACGCCCTTTGAAATTCTTCTCAAAGCACATGTTCAGACCCTTTTCACCCTGTTTTCCTTTTCAAGGTATCAACTACGAAGAGATTGTATACTTGTGTTTTCAAGACTACAATGCATGGTAAAAGCGCCTTTGGAAACACACCTAAACCACTACGCGGTCACATGGTAAGTGTAGCTAGCATGTTGATAGTTTTTCTTCCACTCAAAACACAACGTCTTTCAAGAGGAACATTGAATCTCCCTCAAAGGTCAAACACTCATGATGGCCTTAGCAGGTTTCCCCACACTTTTCCCCGCATTCTCCAAATCCCCAAGATCTTTCAACCACCTAAACCTGCCAGCCTGCTAACCCCACGAACCAACCTACAATTTCCATTTATTCACATCTGGGACCTGAGTCTGTCTTCATTATCAACCTATATCCTTATTCGACCGTTGTCAGTCTGTTCTCGTCGCCATGAGCGAGTCTCTTACATCCCGCTTTGCCAAGCTGAACCCCCTCGCCAAGGCGCGCCCGGGCGTTTACGATGAGGACGCAGGCGAGGAGATTGACAACACCACCGTCGCGGGCGGCGGCCACGGTGCTCGGCAGTCGTCCAACACCAAAAACCAACTGAAGATCAGCCGCGCAATCAAGTCGTTTCTTGTTCACGAGTACGTCGTATCCGAGGAGGATGCGGCTTTTGACTCCGACGAGCCGAGTGAGGCGCTGCGGGTACTCCTCGACAAGCCACACATCCAAGTGCCACCAGAGGTGACCGACAGGTCACACCCACTTCCCGAATACTATATCAGCTCAAGCCATAATACGTACCTGCTTGGCCACCAGCTTCGCGGGGAGTCTTCCGCTTCGGCGTATGAGATCGCACTCAGCACCGGTTCTCGCTGCGTTGAGATCGACGCCTGGGATGACGAGGCCAACAGAGAGGAACCCAAGGTCACTCACGGGTACACATTGGTATCTAACATCCCGTTTCATGCTGTCTGCGGGACGATACGCGATGTGGTCGACAGGGAAGCAGCGGAGTCAGTGAACAAGCAAGGCTACCGGGCCGCACCTATCATGCTATCATTGGAGAACCATTGCGATGCCCACGGGCAACTACGCCTTGCGCAGATCATGAGAGAAGTCTGGGGAGACCGCCTCTTGAGCAGAGCTGTCAGAGAGATGGGCCACGAGGAGCAAGCAACTGGCTACGAGCAAGTACGCCTAGACGACCTTGGCTCCAAGATTGTCGTCATTGTGGAATATCACCTACCGGAAGAGGCCGATATCAGTGATAGCAGCAGCGACAGCTCCAGCGACGAAGAGGAGGAGAAAAAGGAAGCCCGTGCTGCATACAAGGCTAAGAAGAAGACGGCAGCGAAGGGTGCCATCATCCCCGAGCTCGCAGAACTGGGAGTCTATGCTCAGTCTGTAAAGCCCAAGGATAACTCCTGGTTCGAGGATGTGCTGCCGAATGGACCCCACCACCATCTCATCAATGTATCGGAGACGGGACTTGCTGCACATATGCCTGCCGCCAGCGAGAAGATCGCTCGACATAACTCCAAGTACCTCATGCGGGTGTTCCCCAAGGGCACCCGAATATCGTCTAAGAACCTGCAGCAAGTGCCGTACTGGGGAATCGGAGCACAGATATGTGCCATGAACTGGCAAACATTCGGCGCAAGTATGCAGCTCAACGAGGCACTCTTCAGCGGCACCGAAGGATATGTGCGGAAGCCTGCACCTTTGCGAGCAGGAGGTGACGGCAAGCTCAATACTGGGCGAAAGAGGAAGCTCATCCTGCACGTCGCCGGTGCGTCAGGGGTCCCGGTCACCGAGGGCCACGACGAAGACGAGATCAGGCCGTACGTCACCTGCTCGCTCGTGCACCCAGATGACCTTAATGGCGAGCACCAGAAGCGCAAGACGGCGCCCTACAAGCAGCACAAGCTCGGCTTCATGCACCGTGGCGATAATCCACCGAGAACCGATCCCATCTGGGACGAGAAGCTGGAGTGGGAGTACGACGACAACGAGCTCGTGTTCCTGCGCATGCTCATCAAGAGCGACGTCAGCTTCGCCGCCAACCCGATCTTTGCCGTCGCTGCGGTTCGCCTGCTGTACGTGACGCCTGAGTGGAGCTTCATCCGCATGCTGGACCTCAAGGGCCGGGAGACTAGGTGTTCTCTGCTTGTCAAGTTCTCCTTTGAGGACATTTGAACTAGGGCTACACCGGACGTCTGAGAGGTCTTGAAAGAATATGGCTCGGGACATGCTGCTCAGGTTTGACGTCCTGTCATTCTATGGGAAATGGCATGTGTTCTCGTCACACTACAGATATGCCTGCCGTCGTGTTGCCTCCGCACCCACATCTCCTCAGATGTAGAACATGGAATTTTGGAGATTAGGATGAACTCTTATCTGGTTTCGCAGCGAATCCAACTCCTCGTTAGTCATAGTCAAAGTGCGTTCGCCTCGATTAGCCGCGTTGCGTGAGTCGGAGCCGCCCGCCGGATCGTCGAACAGCCCGCTCAGGTAGCATCGCGCGCGCTCGCACACGATGTCGGCGTAGTATGCGGCGTGCAAATTGACACGGCCCGCGTCGCGCGCCCGAAGACATGGCATAGCCTGTGCGTCACATCGTGCAGCGCCTCGACCGGCTTGGGCTCTGGCGCGAAGATCTTGTCGTGCACCACGAAGTAGTGGGCCGGGCGCGCCGTGACTTGGATTGCGGCGTGCGACTGCAGTGACGACCACGCGTTGTTAGTGACCGATGTCCAGAGATGGGTCGTGCGATGGGCGACACTTTAGGGATTTACTCACCTGCAGGAAGAAGTCCCAGCTGCTTGCCTCTGTCACCCCGCGGTCGACCAGCGTCCCAGGCTTGCAGTTCGACGTCGCGTCCGCCTCGACCTTGACCGTGGGGTAGAAGCGCGTGTGGTGCCGCTTGCCGACGACCACGATGGTGATGCGCGGATATCCCTTATCTCGCGCCGACTGAGGATACTTCGCATCGCACGCAGCCTCGATCTGTGGAAGCTCTTTCGAAAGCACCAGCTTGTATTGGCCCTCGGACACGCCGTCGCGGTAGATCAGGATGTTCGTCGGCAGGCGCTGACCAGGGTTTCGTTCGACCCATAGGCCAGACGGGTCTTCAGCATTTCTCCCAGACCCGTTGTCATCTCGTCCCGGCTCTTTTCCTGGATGCTGAGAACCGCAGGCCATTGACTGAAGTGCTTGTCAGTGTTGGCCACCATACCCGCAATGCTGGGTGCGCGGGAGTTCGACCCAGGGGATGGGTGCGTGACGTCGAGCCCAACTACCATCGTCTGGAGTTTGTCGTTCAATAGCCCCAGCCGGTCGAAATGGACTGCCTGGTTGGTACCGTCCAGCTTCAGGTTGAACTTCATCGCAATGTTGCGGTAGTATTGGTCGCTTTGGCTCTCCTTGTGTTTGCTCAAGAGCGAGCAGATGGTGGCAGTCCCGTGTTCGACGTCGCCTAGGCGCTTAATGCGTTTGTACATCGGCATGAGACTGTCATGCAGGATGATGAACAATAGCTTAGAGTTAACTTTCTTAGCCTCAGCAAAAAGCGCATCAAGCCCCTTGTCATCGATCCTGCGCCCTTTGAGCGGGCTGTGCTCCCCGACTCGGACTCCAGCAGCTATTAATTGCTTTGCGAGCTTTCCCATCGACGGATCGACTAGCTCGTTAGCCTTGTCACAGTCTGTAGGTGAAAGGCTGACTGGAAGGAGGAGGACAAAACTCCATGATACGAGGTTCTTGGGAACTAGGAATGTCCTGTCCCTCGTGTCCCACTTGCCACTCGCGACGTCTCTGTTTCCCCCGCCGTATCGGAGGACAGGATCCTGTAGCATCTTTTCTTGCACGGTTATCAGTTGTGGGATGATTCTAATCCCGTTCTTGTCCTAGTCAGGTTTAGTCAGTAGGTGTTTAACATGCAACGCGGACGGCCTACCAGAAGAGGATTGACGGCTGACAGGCCGACAGTGTCTAGCCCTTGCTCGACGATAGCTTCCGCATTGTGAGCTGGCTTCCTCCCTTCAACGGCGAACTTGATCATCTTGTCAGGCTGCGGCCCTTCCAGCTTGACGCGAGCGTTCTGCCCTGGCAGAATTTCGCAGAACTCGGCGGGCAGATAAGTTGGGTTCTTCTCGTTGCCGACGTTCACGACAGGCTTGTCGGGGTGCTTGATTGGGTATCCAGGGTGACCTGTGGAAAATTCCTGTCAGTTACTTGGTCTGATTGGGAACGGGGGGAGTCTTACGCCTCTCGAAGTACTCGAAGACGGTCGTGTAGGAGCCGGCCTAAGCAGCAGCTTTTGCCCCTCCCTGAGCTGGTGTCTCGAGCCAGAATTGTACATCCTTCGCTCCAGCACCGGGTGCTTTCACTCTTGGTGGGTGAGCTATGGTCTTGATTTTGTTGTCACTGTCCTTGAAGGTGCCATGTCCCGGAGTCGCGAGCCCGAAAACGGTCTTGACTTTGACGATGACTTTTCCTGCCTGGTTCTTCCTCTCCGGCAAGTGTAGAGGCTTGATCCTGACTCGTTTCAGGAAGGTATGCAGCTTGTACTTTTCCGCCCCGTTCTTCCAGTCAAGCGTATCCATGACATCAGCTACGTTGGCGGCCTCGTGGAAGACATCGTAGCTGACATTGACGTTGACCAGGATTCGCGAAGTAGCCGCCCGAACACTGGCGAAGAATCCCCGGACCACCTGTAGAGCTCCGCCGAGCGAACTGCATGAATCGGCGCCCATCGGGAAGACCCTGCTATTACCAATAGCCACGATGTCACGTCCAGCTGCTGTGTCTCTGGCGTAATGGTTGAGGAATATGTTGAGCGCCTGGATTAGGGGCAGCTTTGCCTCGTACCCAACCGCGGCTAGGTCTGGTCTCGACTTCTTGCTGAGGCCGCCGATGTTCAGAAACGTGTCGTGCCTGATCTCGAACACGCACTTCTCAGCTCTCTTCTTGTCCTCATCCTCGCCTTCCGCGCGGTACGTGATTTCGTAGCGTTTGACATCCTGGCGCAATTTCTTGCTTGTGAGTAGTTGCGCTTTGAAGTCCGTGACAAAGCCGTTCCCATCGTCATGGAAGTCAGGATGTGCGAGCATCAACTTCTGTTGGATTCTGGGCTACGTTAGCCCATCCATAATCATCCTTCAGGATCACCATCCCCATCTGTGACTCTGTCACATACGTGGCCACATAAGGTCACGTATCCTTTTCCTTTAGTATCTTGGATATATAGGGACACTCTGGCCGCTCCAGAGTAGCTGGAATTTCTCTCCTTAATAGAACACTTTGAAATCTCACAACTTCACGTACTGAATCAGCTTCTTACCAGCGGGTTCATTATCTGCTGGGGGGATGATCCTATAGTTGTGGAGACCGAACTCAGCAGGCACTTCCATCTCGACGTCGTTGGCCCAGAGAACTACTTTGCGCTCTTTCGGTGTGATTCCCGCAAAGGCGGGACGGTGTGGGAAGGGCTGCTCGTCTAGCTTGATAGTCTTGTCAGCCTCCGCGACAGTTGCGTTTGGCAGAGGCGCGCTCCCGTCGCTGTACACGAGTCGCATGGAATGTCAGTCCTCGGGTCTCCGCTATGCTAGCTTAGGGTAGGCGTCACTTATAGGTAGACCACAATGTCATTTGAGGGCCTGTAACCACCGCCACCACCGCCACCTCCCCGGCCGGATGGCCCAGATCCACCTCTCGTTCTGTATGGAATTTCGTCGCCTCCTTGACCACGGCCGAGTTGCCCGGAAGGACCCCCTGACTGACCGGGGGGTCCACCACCGCGACCACTACCGTGACCACTACCACCTCGATTGCCATACCCGCCACCACTTTTTCCTCGTTGAGATATCACGAAGTGGTGTTCGAGAAGAAGTGCAGTGATGAGACAAGAAAAAAGTGGAAGTTGCGCAGTTACGGCTGGCACATATATACCCCATCCAGTGCCGGTGAAGTCTTGCCTGCCGATCCGGCGAACAGCAGACTGTCCAGGATAGCAAGTCTCTCTCCTGCGATATTGCTAAAGCAAACGGTCACATTGCTATGTTCAAACTGCGAGAGATTCCCTGTCCAGCTCATTGACAAGCACTAAACGTGGTTGCCAAACTCGCTTGCGACTTGACAAGTTGTTTCTCCCAGTGCAAACAAGCACCAAGATGGTGCTTGCGAGCATTTGTTGTTGTTTCGCCTCCTGTATTCATAGGCACACACGATAGACATACGAGCAGGAGAATACGATTTGCCTTCAAGAAAATCAAATGTTGCTTTTTGGCAGTGTGGTTGGGTATTTACACATCTCAGATCAAGGCATTTCGGTATAACATAAGTCAGCAACTGGGTCGAGATAAGTTAGGTCGTAGACAGGAGAGTTTGCAATGGAACAGTCGCTTTCCGGGAACGATTGCACTTGATTACCCCTAAGGTAATCTCTGACTTTAATTGTCGATGCCAATCATTCTCCCATCCGATTGCCTGTGTATGTAGGAGTGGTCTGTTACTGGCAATTGGCTGTTAGTGCAGTTGCTAGAATATATTGTTTGTTTGTTTTGTATTTAACGTGGGGGGTAGCTCCTCAGTAGTGCAGACCACGCCTCCCAGAGCCTCTGCATCGCAGGGTTATGGAGGTCTCAAGAAAATAAGTACAGTCAGTCCCGCTCACGGGCCCATCCCCGTTGTTGCGGCGGTATGACCTTGGGGTCATCCATCTGGTCCTTCAAGAATAGCTATCTATCAGAGACAGATTGTTGAAAAGAACTTGTTCTTCTCCACGAATTTTGCCCATTCTGTGCTCCTCTCCTCTAAGTATTGTAAACAGGCTGTCCTAGGCGAGTACCTAGGCAACAACCGATTTTTTCCTAGCCTCTTACAAAAGAAAATATATTGTGGTGTTTTCTTTTCACTATAGCTGCAGTGGTTGTTCGAGTCTGTATGCCCAAAGCGTTCGTGGTATCTGGCAAAGTCGCCATGTCCAGATCTGGCCGCTAGAAGTCTGTGTAGAGTGCTCCTCTTAAAGGATATAAGGCCTCTTTCAGTTACTGCATGTGAGTATACTTCTTGATACCTAGGTTCTGATTGGTTTTTCCACCATTGGTTGAACTCTTTCTTGCCCTTTTTTTTTGAGATCTCTTTTTACCCAAGAGATTATAGGAAGGTTCATTGTGTCTATTTTTATTATGGTACCC